AAGGTAGAAAAGGAAATAAGAGAGGAGAGGGGCGACTGCACATTCTTCTACGCTGTCCATCCCGGCGGCAAGTCCGTGCTGCGCGGCGGCGGCGGTGGCGCAGCGACGCCCGCCGCCGTCTCGCGCCCCTTCTCCGGTGTTGCATCGCCTAGAGAGGAAAGGGTGTGCTCTTAAGAGCACGCCCCATCTCTCTGCGTCGCGTCGCCCTCGGCCACGCCCTCCGATCCCGCGGGCAGCTTTGGCAGTCGGTCGAGGAGAGGGTGGCAGGGAGGCAGCAGAGGCCGCGGCGCGGCGCCGGAACCGCCTGGGGAGAGGGAGGCGGGAGGCGGGAGGGAAGTCTGGGGGCGGAGGGGGATGCTGAGTGCGGCGACGGCTGTCGGAGACGGGGGCTCGGGGGAGGAGCGTCTCGGGTGAAGAAGGGCCTCTATCTCTCGGCAGGGCCCGGATTTGTCTCGGTCGGTGAGGCGGATTTGCCGCGAGGAGTGAAGTAAAGAGGAGTGCGCACTCTGCAGAAACGCGACAATCAGCTTGCGCGACCATGGGGTGTCGAGCGTGGCGGCGTCCTCCCACGAGACGTCCCAGCTGGGCTTGCCGAGCCACTTGACGAGGTAGAACGCCGCCGAGTACCTGCGCGGCAGCAGCGGTGGCGGCAGCGGCGGCAGTTGGCAATCAGCGGTGGGCGGCCACAGAAGTCGGCGTGAGGCGCTCCCTGCGCGCCTGCCGACCCGATCGATGATCGCTTCGGGCACGCCGCGCTTGATGCAGCCGCGGCAGAACCACTCCTCGTCCTCGGGCGTGCGAGGGAGCGGCGGCTTGACGTTGTGGATGCACGCAAGGTGGTAGGCGCCGTTGCACAGTTCGCAGAGGACGTTGGGCTCGTTGTCCACTTTCTTGCAGACGCGACACGGCGGATCCCAGTAATCGCTGCCCACCTCGGAGCGGGTCGGAGAGGGAGAGCGCGAGCCGCTGGGCATCAGTAGAGGGCCCGTTTCCCGCGGGCTATCAAATTAGGAAATTCTTTTTACCGACTGTTCCTCTTGTGTGCTGTGAGAGAGAGTTCTCTTCGTTGAATTCTTTTTAACGGAGTCGCTTAGGCGGCTCCGGTGGTGTGCCGGTGATAATACTAGCACGCGCCAGTTCGCACCTGTGTCGAGCCTGTCTGCTGTGAGAGAGAGTTCCGTTGTTTAAATTCTTTTTAACACTTGCTAGCACGCGCCAGTCCGCAACTGTGTCGAGCCTGTCTGCTGTGAGAGCGAGTTGTGCTGTTTCAATTCTTTTTAACACCTGTGTCGAGCCTGTCTGCTGTGAGAGAGAGTTGATTTTGTTAAATTCTTTTGCCTTGGTGCTTGGAGTGTTTGTGCGACACGACCACACTTGTTCGAAGCTTCGAACCGCCACAACGCCACATGCGACACATACTTAATCCACACATGTTGGTCATGTTGGTCATGTGGTGTGTCATCCATCGCGTGGCTCCCGTGATCCGGGTTTTCGGTATCTGTGGGTAGTCCATGTCGTTTGGCTGCTCGAAGGCAACGAGCCCGCCGACGCCGACCATTCCAGAGTGCGGGTAGGTCGCGCGGACCGAGTCCCGATACGTGATCGCAACGTCGTTGCCAGCCGTCTGGTTGTAGCACCAGTCCAGCAGCTCTGGACCGGTGAGCATGAGCGGCCTGCCCTTGGGAGGGACGAATCGCTGTCGGACGTTGCGGAGGATCGAGTCGAGCATGCAGCGGGGGAGCGGGTGCGACGGCACGCTCGCGAGGATCTTCATCTGCTTCCGTTCGAAGTCGGCCCCCGAAATGTCACGGCCGATGGTCGCGCCCGCGTCACACATGTCGACTACGCTGGCAATCGGCTTGAGCAGCACGAGATCGGTGTCCAGGTAGACGCCGCCTTCGGCGGACAGGGCGCAGAAGCGGAAGAGATCGGCGCGAAACGCGGGGGCGAGCAGGCAGCGGTACGCCTGCCCGGCCTCTCGCCCGCAGTGCTTGGTCACGTACTCGAACGCCGACTCGTCGTCGTGGTAGTTCACCACAAAGCCATCGAGGTGGACGGCAGCATTCATGGCCACGTTGGATGGGCGCTCCGCGCTGCCGCCAACTGCATGGTAGATACGGGGCACCCTCGTGGACCTCTCAGAGCAGTTGGGTGGCGACGAGAGCGGCAGGTTCAAGTATTCGGCGCAATTGCTGTCGCCGAAGTCTGGACGGGTGAACGGCGTCTGCACGAGCGCGCACGGCCCCACTCCCGCGGCCGCTCGTTTGGCGGGCGCGGCAACCGCAAGGACGTGGAAGAAAATCGGCATGTATCCGCCTGCCCGGGATCACGGTAGAGAAGACACCCCCCGGCCCTGGTCCTTGCGATCGAGTGTCACGTAGCCCGGACTTCGCAAACACCTCTCCGACGCGCTCGACTATAGTCTGCGCGTTTTTTCGCGTTTACAACTGTATTTGCACACACCCCTTCAGAAGAATTTACTGGGCGCGCGCTGGTTAAATTCCCTGTGTGGTGGCGGCGTGCCATCCTCCCACCCCTCCCTTGGGTCCCCCGTTTGCTTTCTTTCTTTCTACTGGTCTGTGTATGTAGAGTACCTTTATGCACACAGTACACAGACAGACAGACGGTGAATGAACCTTCTTTTCTAGACGGCTAGCAGCCTTGCTCTAGCCTCGCTCTAAATCCCAGAAGTCGAAGGATTGTGAGCAGCACTCCTCGCAATCGAGAAATAAATAAATAAATAAAACGGACACCTCTACTAGGAGATGGGTAAAAAGGAACAGGTCCCCGCCCTGCGGTCTTTGTGCAGGGTTCTTTGTGGGTGTGGTCGGCGACTAGCAATCGAGAATCGTTAGCATCTCTGTGCGATTGTTTGTGAGCACCTGCCTGTAGCCTGAGCTCGCAATCCTACATCTTGTAGGAAGGACTATCTATGAGCAGCTCGCTCACAATATGACTGGTGATCATTAACGCCTACGACTACTACCAGCGCGCTCACTCCGAGCTCAAAGTCTAGGATCTAGGATTGTGAGCAGCACTGCTCACAATCGTAGCATGCCTCCGTCCGATTGCGAGCAGTAGGTAGCGAACGCTCGCAATCACATCTTGTAGGACACTACGAGCGGCGGCGCTCACAAATCGTACCAAAGATCCAAGGCCGATGGCTAGCACGTACTAGCAGGCGCACAGAGGGCGACCTTGCACCTTCCCGGCGCGCTCACAAGCGCTCGCATCTGGAGCGAGTAAGTATTGAAGTGAATTAGGATCGAGAGAGCTCGTTTATTTGAGTCTCGTGCTCCCGTGGGGAGGGATCGAGATCATTTTCGTTTACCACTCCCACAAGTGCTATTAGTACAAAAAATCACAGAAAATTCACAAGCGCTCGCGGAGCCGAGCCACGCGTCACGCAGCAGCCCTGAGGTGCCCTGAGCACACATGCGAGCGCCCATGGTCACATCTCGTCGTGCACTCGCCTGACAGTAGTTTGCGGAAGACCGCCGCCAGCATGTCGTCGCACCGGCGCTGCCGGTGGCCGAAGGCAGCCACAGTGGGTTCGGCAGCACGATCTGGTGTGCATCCGCGCTCCCAGAGCATGCCGGTGGGTGGCCTTGACCAGGCCTGAGCAGCTCAGGAGTGGAGGCAGCCTCTGTCTGGACGAGCAGCGCTGGATCGCCAAACCAGCAGAAGAGCGCCGAGCGGCGGCGCCGACTCCGTGAGGCCACTCCAACTCGCACATCTCAAGCTGTATCTCGAGAACGCGATCGAGTTAGAAGCTCATCGACACGGCGTATTCAATGGTTGAAGGAGCCCGTCACTCCTGTGGCCGAGAGGAGCGTCGGAGCGATTGTGCGGTCCCCTTTTCATGGCCGTACTCCCACTTGTGCGAGGGTCGCACATGCACATGTGCATGTGCATGTGAACGCATGAGAGCGACAGGGGCGTTCCGAGAGCGACAGGGGCGTTCCACTGTAGTAGTCTGTAGTAGAGTCGCTAGAGCTAGCTAGCGGTCTTCGTTCGGGTCCGCACCCCTCTCCGTCTCGCGCCTCGCCGGCGGCGAGCGGCTCGCATCAGCCGGAGCGCCAGTGGTCAGTGAGTCTTTTGAGCTCGTGAGAAACACAGAGTTTTTTTCTTCACAGCAGAGGCAGGCTCTGTTGTGAGGGCTGTGAACCAAATGGCGTATTTTCTTCTCACTAACAAGGCGGGCAGGTTTGCCCGCGTAAAATTCTTCTCGTCCCGCTCGTTCAGCGCGGAGCGAAAAACGGGTGTGCCCCCGGCTCACCATGTCCAGCTTTGAGAAGGAGGAGCGAGCCACGCTCACTGCCCAGCTGGCGCACTGGATCTCACATGCAGAGTCTCTCGCCATCAAGGCCGGCGAAGGCGCAAAGCGCGAGGCGGCGCTGCGGCACGAGGCGCTGCGGGCGCGCGTCGAGGCCTCATTGCTCCAGAGCCTGGCCCGCTCGCTCGAGGGATCGCTCGCAGAGGCGCTCGCCGAGGCACGGGTTGCGGCTGCGGGCCGAGACCGCCTAATGGAGGAGCTCGGCGAGGCGCATCGTGCTCTGCTGCGAGCTATGCCTGAGGCAGGAGCGTCCTCCAGCGGGAGAGGGGGCGGCGGCGGAGGGGGCCGTCACGGCTCCGACACCGGCGCCAGCCGCGGGCAAACCGCTCAATCACCGCAGCCGCCTGTTTTGCACCGTGCGAGCCCCTCGCGGCAGCGAGTGCTGCAAGGCTCACCGCTCCAGTCTGCCTCGCCCGGTCAGGGAAGCCGGAGTGCGCATCAAACGCCGCATCGGACGGTGCCAACTACACGCTGCTGTGGCTCCCCGCACCCAATGCCACCACCGCCGCAGATGCCGATGCCGCCGCCGCCGCGAAGCGCTTCGCTTTGGGCTCCACAGCAACCCACTCCTCAGCGTTCCACTCGCCCTTCTCCGCGGGGCGATAATGGCGATTCCACCACAGCCGCCGCACCGGCCGTGCCGCACTTCTTCTCGTCAGCTCGCCGCGGCGGGGGGCACGGCGGCGGCCGGGGCATCGAAGGCGGCGCGTGATCCGGCGCGTGAACACGCGCGCGCCCACCTGCTCACACCTGCTGACCCCTGCGAGTAGGCGACGCAGCCTCCTCTGCGCGCGGCAGCCCGCCGTCTGCGGTAAGGAGGCGATTGTACGCGCAAGCAAATCGGGGCGCGGAGGGAGCGGAGATTTCCTTCCTTGCAATGCGCCGCCAAGGCGCTGACTACTGGTCGGGTGCTCCTCGGCCATAAGGGTGGCACTCCAGCCTACTGGCTAGTTCCATTTCACTGTGGCACAGCCCGCGTTACAAAACCTTGATTTGACCATTTGCGCCATTTGGTACCTCTCGGTGCCTTCCAGAGGCAGCTGCGAACCCGCCGCATTTCGCCCGCCGAATTCTCCCACTCGCTCTGCCCCAATCTCGAACAAATCTCGAGTCCTCTCACTAGTTACATACATACTTCTTGGGTTCGTCCACCCATCCCCCTGATCGTCCTTCCAAAATCCTGCTCGTGCAGGTTGGGACCCTGTCCTCCTCCCCCATCCCTCGTCTGGGCTTGTCTGTTTTCTTTCTTTCTTTCTTACCCATACCGCGTTGGTGTCCAGCCCGAGCCTGAGCTGACTGTTCTTCGCCTTTCTCTCTATCTATCTATGTTGGGTTTTCTTTCTGTACACAAAATGCGCCTGGCGGGCGGACCCTCACAGCTCACAGCTCACTCCCGCGCCCACACCTCGATCTTCTTGGGCAGCAGCTGGTTCGACAAGTCCTCTCCGTGGCCTAGGCAGCCGTACTCGCCCTTGCCCCAGGAAAAGACAGCGCCGTCGGCGGTGCGGGCGAGGCTGTGGCTGATTCCCGCCGACACAGCGACGGCGCGCTGGCCAGCAAACGCCTCGATCTTCTTGGGCAGGAGCTGGTTCTGTTCATCGCCGTGGCCCAGCTTGCCAGAGTAGCCATAGCCCCAGCTCCAAACACTACCGTCGGCGGTGAGGGCGAGGTTGTGGTTGCCTCCAGCCGACACAGCCTCGACGCGCTGGCCAGCAAAAGCCTCGATCTTCTTTGGCAGCCACTGGCGCTGCTCATCGCCGTGGCCCAGCTGGCCAAAGAATCCACAGCCCCAGCTCCAGAGGGCACCGCCGGCGGTGAGGGCGAGGCTGTGGCTGCTTCCAGCCAGCACAGCGATCACGCGCCGCCCCGCCAAGGCCTCGATCTTCTTCGGCAGCAGCTGACTCTGGTAGTCGCCGTGGCCCAACCGGCCAAAGCCTCCCTGGCCCCAGCTCCAAACGGCGCCATCGGCGGTGAGGGCGAGGCTGTGGCCGCTCCCACCCGACACAGCGACGACGCGCTGTCCAGCAAAGGCCTCGACTCTCTTGGGCTGCCACTGCTGCGCCGGGGCGCCGTGGCCCAGCTGGCCCACGCCTCCATCGCCCCAGCTCCAGACGGCTCCGTCGGCGGTGAGGGCGAGGCTATGCTCGGATCCAGCCGACACAGCGACGACGCGCTGGCCAGCAAAAGCCTCGATCTTCTTGGGATGCCACTGGTCCTGCTCGTCGCCGTGACCCAGCTTGCCCACGGATTCATCGCCCCAGCTCCAGACGGTGCCGTCAGCGGCAAGGGCAAGGCTGTGGCCGCCTCCAGCCGACACGCTCACAGCGCGCTCGCCGCCCAGCGGAGAGGGGAGGCCGCACGACATTGGAAGAGAGATAGGAAAAAATCCCTGTGTGGTGGCGGCGTGCCGTTCTCCCATCCCTCCCTTGGGTTGTATGTTTTCTTTCTTTTAAGAGAGATAGGAAGAGGCAGACTCCCTAGGGTGGGCGACGGCTAGCGCACCACACTTAAATTCCCTGCGTGTGTGTGGTGGCGGCGTGCCGCCCCTCCCTTGGCGTGTCTGTTTTCTTTTTCTTTACATGGAGAAAGAAAACGGAAACCCCATAAAATCCATGTGTGATGGCGGATGGGGGGGGCAGTCTTCCTCCCGTCCCTCCATACGTTCCCGTTTTCTTTCTTTCTTTGTTGAAACGACGGATCGACAGGGCCGAGAAAGGTCATGGGGCTTTGCGAACGAACGCATCTCGGTGATGTCGTCCTTTTTCAGGTCGTTGAGCGCCGCGGCCGCGTCTTCGAGCGCCGGCAACGCTTCTTCGAGCGCCGCCTCAGCTTCGGCCTTTTCCTCGGAGATCTGTTCTGACATGACGTTGAGCTCCTTCTCCTTGAGGTTCGCCGCCTCCTGCTGCTGCTCCGCGACCGCACAATTCTCCGTAATCTCCACCAACATCTCCTTGACCTGCGTTGACTTCTCCGCCACCTCGACCTGCGCTACGACCAACTTGGCTTGCATTGCGTCGACCTCCGTGGCCGCCTGCACCAGCTTGGAGAGGCCGCCGTCGAGGCGCTGGATCGAGCCATCAATCTTGCGCCGCTCCTCCTTGAGCACCGAGCGGTAATTTGAGATGAAGTCGAGATAGTTCTTGGGCGTGACGTAGTTGTACCGCTTGAGCTGCTGCAAAAATTCCTCCGACTGAGTGCGCACCATCTGGTGCACCATCACCATGTGCTCGACAATGGGCCGGCGCGATGGGTCGGGCAGGTCCTCCTCAGCCAAAAAGACGCCGGCGACGGACTCGAGGTCGGGCGTCACCATCACCACCGGGCGAAAGAGCGCCTTGAGGTTGTCGGGCAGCTCGGTGCGGCCGGCGTAGCCGGGGTTCATCGTGATGAAGATGCCGATCGTAGGCACCAGCCCAATCTCGCGCCCCTCAAAGGCGAAGCGCCCAACGCCGTCAGCGAGGGCCGTCTGGATGGTCTTGATCTGTGCGGACACCACCGAGAGCACCTCGACCGGAATCCGGTTGAACTCGTCGAAGCAGCCCCACGCGCCCGTCTGCACGAGGCCGGAGAAGATGGAGCCCATAGCTTTGAAGTCGAGGCCCTCGCCGCAGCAGAAGACCTTGCACTGCAGCGCCATCGCCTTGGACAGGTCCTTGACCGTCTCGGTCTTGCCGGTGCCGGCGGGCCCAGCCGGCGCGCAGCCGAGGCGGTAGTGCAGGGCCTGAGTGCACGTCATATAGCAGCGATCTGTCAGCGGTGTGATGACGAGCCGCCCATTGAGGCCCTGGTACTCGTAGCCGAAGCGGAAATCGCCCGAGCACTGGCGGATGAGGACATCGTCTTCCTACGGAGTCGGGTGTTGATGGACGTGTCATAAGTCACGCGCGGTGCAAGCGAGCGGAGACAGGTGTGTGGGTCGATGGAACGATGGGAAGCAGCCGGAGGTTGAGGAAGGGGAGGGAAATGTGGTCAGGTGTTCCGCGCCTCACGATCCCAGTAGAAGCGCAGCTGCGACTCCCACGCAAATTCGCGCTCGTCGAGGACGGAGTCGCGGACAAAGGTGTCGATGATGTCGCGCGCGTGGACGTCGATGATCACGAGCGTGTTGATGCGCTTCGTCGCCTGCCTCGTGAGCTTGGGATCGCGGATTGCAACGATGAGCTCGTTGAGCTGCGCGTGGTTCTTCGCCGCGAAATTCTTCATCCCCATTTTGTCGCCCTTGCGGACCGCGTCAAAGACGTCGTGTGTCTCGAAGGTCCACCATATCTGCGCGCCCGTGTTCACCACCATGCCAAGCTCCGCCTTGAGCCACTCGATGCGGTCCGTCTTTGGGTAGGTGTAGGTGGCGACCTTCGTCTGCCTCCGGAGGGTCGCAATCATCTCCTCCTCGATGCCCGACAGCCAGGTCTCCACCGCGCCCTCGGCCAGGCGCTGTGAGTCGAAGGTGAAGGACTCCTTCTCTGAGGACACCATCCCGAGGACCTTGGCGCCGGCGCGGTCAAAAGTAAGCGCCGCTGCATTGTCGAAGAGCTTTAGCATGTGCTCCTGCACCGAGGTGGGGTTGGATCTCGCGGAACTTTTGGAGCAACGTGAACTCGTCCTCTGCCGAGCGAAGCTTGTGGAAGGAGTCCTCCATAAAGGAGCGGGCCATCTCCTGGGGGGGGGCGGGGAGGGGGGGCTTCACTGGACATTTCGACATTGTTGTGTGCGTGTGCGTCGCAAGGGCGGAGAAGGCAACGTGGCCATGAACACGGGCAGCGAGCGCTGACGTGTAAGGTGTCTGCGCTGCTCCGGTGTGTGTGGGATTATGCCTCCCCCCATCTGTGCGGCGAGGTGTTTGCGGTGGGTGCGATGGCCGATCGTGCGCGATAGCTTCCCATTGTGCGTGGTGTCGGTGTGTCGGTCGTCCGGAGCGTGTGGCGGCGCCGTTGCATGCAGCGACTCTGCTCACGTGCCACGACTGCTTTGACAGACGTGACTGACTTATGAGTGCTGATGGATGATCTCCGACAACCCAAAACCAAAATGAAAATGCGGAGTGGCCCCACTTTGGCGTGCAGATCCTGCGTCTCTCACTGCCCGAACAACAGAGAGGCGGGTCCGCCGCAGGCCCCCCACTAGTGAGACTAGAGCAGACTGCTCCGCCTCTAGCAATCTCGCCGGCCGGCGACGCACGGAGGAGAGCACGTGTGGGTTAGGGTCCCTGTCTGGAAGGAGCCGCCCACTGCTCGTGCGGTGGGGGCTGGGCGTCTTTGCCCAGGCCACCTCGTGCTCGTCGCCTGTCCATCGTCGCCTGTCCATATATGACCAATCCCTTCTCGACCACGGGTGCCCGACAGTTTGGCGCGGCGCCGCTGTGGGGCGCTTCCGCTGCGGATGCACTGCAGCCGCCGCTGCGTCTCACCGTCATGACTGGGGCTCTTTTTGGGGCGGCGCGAGCCTCTGTGGAGGTCGAGATCGCCCGGTCGGCGACTGTGGGCGAGCTGCTGCGCAGGGTGATGGCACTCGCACAGCTGGCGCCGCCCGCCGACCCGGCCATCCTCGAGGGCTCCCTCCGCCTCCTTTGCGCTGGAGACGACCTCACGGCACACCGGACTCGAACAATCGGCGAGGCAACGGACGGCGCCGTCCTCCTGCACCTGATCGCCCCGGGTGGACTACCCTCGTCCGTCTTTGCCACCACGTGCGCCAATCCCGCCCGCAGTGCCGCCGCCAACGCCGCCGCGGCCGCGGCAGAACAGCGGGCCGCAAAGGCTGCGGCGACTGCGCCTGCACAAGCACCGTCAGCACCGGCGGCGGTCTCGGCCTCGCGGGCGGGCGGCGAGGCGGGGGTGCTCAAGGTGCGCTTCGCGGCTCGCGAGGTGCGAGTCACGTACAAATAGACAGCGGGGGGCATGCACGCGCAGCATACTCAGGCGAGGGACTCGAGCACAACTCCCACCCCGTGGGGCTAGCACGCACTCGCGGCGAGACGGCCGAAAGACTACGACCGGCACCCGCCCGGATGGGCAAAACTAGGTGCGAGTCCAGTACGACCCGGCGATGACCGCCTCGCGTCTCAAGTCGGAGATTGCAACGGCGGACGGCACCGCGGTCGCGGGCGGCTTGCGCCTCTTCTTCTCGGGGCAGGTCCTCGGCTCGATAGTTCAGAACCCTTCCTGAGATCCAGCGGTGGTGCACCGAGTGAGCTCCTCTTGCTCGTGGAGACCGTCGTTCACACCCGCCGCCACCGCCGCCAACCCCACCCACCGTGTTTGTGATGACCCACCCCAAGGATCCACGGTACCCGAACCCAACCTCCCCTACCCCCACGGTACCCGAACCCAACCCCCCCCTACCCCACGGTACCCGAACCCACCCTCCCCTACCCCACGGTACCCGAACCCACCCTCCCCCAAGGATCGCAATGGGCGAACGGGCATGTCTTGTTTAGGAGCTCATCGACGCGCTGCCGCTGCACTCGCAGCGGGGCAGGCTCGCGGCCGGGGCGGTGATCACCGCGCACATGGTCGACCCTACGCACACGCCGAGCAAGGAGCGCCTTGCGCCGGCGCGCCAGCCTGCGCGCACGAGGGCGCGAGGGGCGCGGAGCCGTCTTCGAAGCGAGGCTTGTCGGCTTGCCGTAGGCGCGGTCGCACGTGGCGGGGGGCGACGCGCGGACGATGCGATTCGTCGGCTTGCGCAACCAGGTGTGGCGGCCGAGAGAGCTGCCCTAGAGCTTCCCTAGAGCTTCCCTAGAGCTTTCCCAGGTGAAGCGCAGCCTAGAGAGCTCTCCACGCGGCCGCCGCCGCCCTGACACCCCTCGCCCCCTCCCCCCCCTCCCCCCCCACCCACCCACCCACCACCAAAAAAGGGGGACACCTGCTCTCCACTCTATACACACACGATTCCATGGACTGTACACCACACACACTCTGCACTCTTCGGGCAACGCCTGCTGCCATCACACACCATTAGGGCAACGCTTGCTGCCATCACACACCATTAGGGCAACACCTGCTGCCATCACACACCATTAGGGCAACACCTGCTGCCATCACACACCATTAGGGCAACACCTGCTGCTATCACACACCATTAGGGCAACACCTGCTACCTCAACTCACTCGTGCAGTGCCTCTACATGACGCCAGAGCTGCGCCGCGGTCTGAGCGCACTCCGCTCCACGCCTGCCGCCGCCGGCGCGGTGGGCGGCGCGCTCTCGTCTCTCTTCTCGTCCCTCTCCTCGGCGTCCGCGGCCGTCGGAACAGAGACCCTCACCCGCGCGCTCACCAGCGCGCTGGTTGGCGGCTCCGCCTCCTAGAAGCGGAACACGGACTCTTGGACTCCCACCAGCGCTCGAGAGGGCACGCCCTCCGCCGTATTCGGCCGTAGTCGGCCGTACTCCGCTGTATTCGTCTCCCTCGTACTCACGCGGTGCTCCACACACACACACACACACACACACACACACACACACACACACACACACACACACACACACACACACACCGCTCACCCACGCGCACTGGGCCTTGCACTTTGAATGCCGTGGGGCTCCTGTCGTCAGACGTGGAGACGCGAGGGTTGCCTGGCCCTTGCCCCACCACCTCGTGTGTGTGGAGAAGTTTACCTTACCTTACCTTACCACGTAGGCTGCGCCTCGCGGCAGGAGGACGTGCACGAGTTCTGGCAGGCGCCGACGGACCCTCCCGCCCCCTCTCCCCCTGACTAGTCTCGCTCACCCTCGCTCGCCCTCGCTCTCCCTCGCTCTCCCTCGCTCTCCCTCGCTCTCCCTCGCTCTCCCTCGCTCTCCCTCGCTCTCCCTCGCTCTCCCTCGCTCAGCTCACCCTCACTCGCGCTCACCCCCCGCAGGTGCTGACGGACAAGCTCGAGACGGAGCTCAAGAGGTGTGACCGATCTGAGTCACCTCTCCTCCTCGTCCTCATCCGAGCTGTACGTCGGTGCTCGTGCACTCCGGCTCCGCCTCGTTCGGCCTCTACCTACGCTCTCATCAAGGACTTGGGCCAAGGCGACCCTGCGGGCTTCAAAGGCGGCGGCCACGGGCGCCGCGAGTGGCACCAGTTCAACGACGCAATTGTGCCACC